TCATTAAACACTACTGGCACTGGCGTTTTAATTTCGTTGAAAAGTATCATTTCCACCATCATTTCTTGTTTGCATATTCAAAAATATTTAAAAGAATCTCATATTATTTTATGCAGTTGTATTTTTCAGTGTAAGTGATTTAATTTGATAACGTATAGATAATCACATTATTATAATTGAATTTATAGATCAAATGTAAGAATTTGAAATGAAAGTGTGAGTGAGATTAGTGGGAAAATGCCCTCTATAAAGGTAAAAAAAAAAGTCCTTGGATAAAATATTGAATATATAAATATAGAATAAAATGAGAATATTGCTTCAGAATAAATCATATTTGCAAAAAAATATAAACACACACACACACACACACACACATATATATATATATATATATATATATACATATTATGTGTATATGCATGTCTGTATGTAAATTAAACAAATATATATATATATATATATATATATGTAATAATATATGTAACATTTTAGAGCATTTAAAGTAGCAGTAGCCTAATTATACTGCTGATTATAATATAAATATCTAAATATTATATTTAAGTATTTTTAGTGAGTATTTAATAATTCATTCATTTTGTAGATTAGGGTGAAATATGAACTGGATGTTTTTGTAAGATTCATCCCATAACATTTATCTTTTTTATAAAAAAATGTGGAATTATCAAAATATCCTGATTTGGTGCTCCGTTATTACCAGTTTATTAATCATTTATTATCAATGTTGAAAACAATATTGCTTAATAATTTTGTGGAAACCGTGAAACAGTACTGTGAGTGGGGCAAGACTATAGAACTTTTCATAGCATGTAAAGTCATTTCCGTTTGTTTGCAGCTTACACCATATTTATTGATTTATCATTTGAAAATATGTGCTCTCTCTGTGAATGACTAAAATACCCTGAAGGATAGATTTTTGTTTATGCATTGAAACTCAATACTAATCACATCGTACATCTTGTCCTTTTATTTTTTGTTTGTGTACAAAGTGTTACCATGACGAAGCGGACCATTCCCTCTCTCGGAATCCCAAAGAATGCAGAGTTTGGCAAAAAAAAAAAAAAAGTGAGAAAGAGCATTTGGATTAATTCTGACATCACTGTTCTTGTTCTTTCACAGCTGGCCCAGTTGATCCTCTTATTTGGAGCTGCAGTTCATTACACTAGAAGTAAAAAACCACCTTGCAGAGACATGGAATACTATCAGTATTCAACAACAGCTTAAATTTGCATCGCTTAACTACAGAGACTTGCGCTTTTCACAACATTTAAAGGATATGTGACATTAAATTCATCTTGTAAGTATTATATAACATCATGTTTCTTTCGACCAATAGATTACACTAGCAGCAAGCACTCAAACAACACAAAACCTCTTTCATCTTCTTGTAAGTTTAAGTTTTGTTTCCTTCTTGGGAGTAATAGATGCTATTATTTAGTAAAAGGCTTGGCGTGTTGCCCGGGGCCTTGGGAAGATTCCTGCTGATGGACTTAAGGACATGCACACGGCCCTACAAGCAAACACAAGCCCTTCCCTTTGATGGAATCTTGTACTCGTTCCACTTGGAATCACTGAGACATCTCAAACACTATATACTAAAGCTACTGAAATTTATTCTGAATTTTAACTTGCCTTTAAATAAACATATTATGGATTCTAGCCTGGTTTCTGGTTTGCAAGCAGTGAATTTTAACAAATACATGTTTCATTATTTGGAAACCTCATACAATAACTTCAGTTTTAGATGGTGTTACATTTAAGGCATAAGATGAAATTTTAATATCAGCCTAATTTTGTCTCTGTTGCAAAGTTCAACAATTGTAATGCATTACTTTTAAAAGTAACTTTCCCCAACACTGAACAATACACACTGTATATTACCAGTCAAAAATGTGGAATAATTAGGATTTTTTGAAAAGTCTTTTATGCTCACCAAGGCTGCATTTATTTGATCCAAAGTAAAAGCTGTGATATTATAAAATATTATATTTTTTCTTAACTGTTTTCTTTTTTAATATATTTTAAAATGTAATTTATTCCTGTGATGCAAAGCTGAATTTTCAGTATGATTACTCCAGTCTTTAGTGTCACATGATCCTTTAGAAATCAAATATGCTGATTTCGGTGCTCAGTTATAAGCAGTTATTAATTATTATATTATTTTTGTCAATGTTTAAAACAGTTTTAACTGCTTAATAATTTTGTGGAAACCAAGATACTTTTTTTTTTCAATATTCTTTGATGAATAGAAAGTTAAAAACAGGATTTATTTGAAATATAATTTTTTTTTCTAGCATTATAAATGTCTTTACTGTCACTTTTTGAGTATATTTATTTCCTTTTTTTTTTTACTTAATTAACCCAAACCTCTAAATGATGCATCACAGTTTCGAAAGCAACATCATAGAATGATTTCTGAAGGATCATGTGACACTGAAGACTGGAGTAATTATGCTGAAAATTCAGCTTTGATCACTGGAATAAGTTAGATTTAAAATATATTGAAATGGAAAACTCTTCATTTGAGCTTTAAAGTATAACGTTAATTAGTCATTCAGTTGGCTTGTTTATTATATTTGTTGTATATGCATTTCTAATTTAATTTCTAATAGTATTTACACTAAGCCTTGTAATGGACTGGCCATCTGAACAGGCTGCTTCCCTGCCTACGGTCCGAGACGTTTCAGCATCCCTGTGACCCGACAGGACAAGCAGTTTGGAAAATGCATGGATATTGAGTTTGGGCAACTGTACTCATTCAAATTAAAAATATTAACCAAAATCCAAACTATATTTGAGCTTCAAAACAGTTTTTGACAAACACACTTTGTCTTGGATTTCCATCTATAAAAGAGCGGTTTAACCATTTCAGGGATTATTGTCCATACAGAGACATTATTAGCTGTGATCCATAAAGCCTGTGCCACTTGTAGAGGCTTGTGATTAAACTTCTGGTGCAGAATCACCTAGCAAACAGGTCTTCACACTCGTGCATTTCTGATTATTAGAATATTGTTAGTTTATTGTTTTTTATTGATGCTTTTCAGCAAGAGGTATCAATAAATCAGACAATAAATCAACATGTTTCAACATGCTAACAGATATCAAGATCAGAAAAAAGTATTTTTTACTCTCTGAATAAGTCACAAAATACTATTATGTATGCTTGCAATAAGATAAATAATAATACATATATATATATATATATATACTGAGAAGGAAGAGACCACGTTTGCACATACAAACATTACAAACTGGCAGGAGAAGAAAAAATAATTGGGGGTGAGGGAGCAGCAAATACCACATGCTAAGAAATGGTTACATAAAGCAGAAATGACTATTCATTTATTTGTAATTTTTTTTTTCATGTGTTCTCTAAAGACTATGCATGCATATTACCGTTACATATGTTGCATAACAAAGATTGACGTTACAATTTAAATAAAAATTGATCACAAAAAAGTCAGTCTTCACCTGGATTCCAGCTGTAAACACCCTGGACATTCACTCAAACAACTTGAGCTACATCCTGAGATGCTTCTCCAACATTCCTGAAGGGAATAATTGTTGACTGCTTTTCCGTCATAACCAGGTCAAAAATGTCAGTTTTGTAAAGACATTCATTCAATGGCACAACAAAGCTAGCACTCATTTTAAGCGTGTAGATTAAAATGCCTTTAGGCATTATATTAATGACATAATATCATAACACAGTACGAATACATTTATAATATAATTGAATATAGTTGTACATTGTGTGAAAATGTTACACATAGGCCAGCTTGTTTTGGGTCAAGAACGAGCGCTCGCCTTGATTGGCCAGTGGGAGAGCACGTGACAAGGCAGTCACGCGCTTTCCAGGAACCCGTCAGGAAGAAGATAAACAAAACAAACCAGAGAGGAAGACGGCGTGGCTTGAGAAGAATGACATTAAGTTTTCCTAAAGCCGAATACAATTGGAATTACAACCATTTTTGTACTAGTATATGGGTAGCTTAAAGGTGAGTCATCATTTTGTCTATGACAACGCTGTGAAATGTGTGAGTATAGTTGTTTTAAGGATTTTCAAAACATTGTCTCTTTGAGTTAGCTCTCTGGCTAAGTTTCGTTAGCAGAGGGGAGGGACACGGAGGCCATAGTGTGAAAGCAGCGCTCTAGTTCCTCTTGAAACCCTCACTGATAGAGCGATGTGCTGTGTGTTTTTGCAGCTTGAGTTGCTCGTTTGTTCTTTCAGATCAATATTTTTTTCCTGTGGTTGCTTAGCTGGCTAGTCATTGCTGCTGAGTAAGGGTAACTTAGAAGATGTTGGTCGTTCGCTTTCAATTACACGAGAACTTCTAGAACATTGCTTGGACTCCAGCACTGCACCTTTTGGAGATCTCCTCCAGTTGACACACCCATATCCTTTATGAATAATCTAATAATATAAATCAGGCGTAGTAAGTAAAGGTCCTCAGAATTGAGAACTAACGTTCTACGATGTCTTACTAGAATTAACCCCACTAAGTCTGTAAGGGTACACGCCCCCATCAGCACGATGCAAAGTGAAATTGAAACACGATAGTCTTTCTGGTATCTAGACTGCCGTTGGTACATTGATAACTGTCCGAAACGTGCATCAAAAGAAACTCGAATGCTTTAAAACGCAGTTTGTGATCCGTTTGAACGAGTCGTTTTATCGCAAAATGATGTTCATATGCCAGCTGCTTTGTTAAAACTTCGAAATCATGTGTTTGTGTGTAAACTAAAAGTTTATAAGGAGCTAATGTTTCGCATTCCATCTGTTTACGTAACATGAGGGAGGCCTGCGAAATTGTTTGTTGCTTGTCGACTCAACCAAGCGCTACGAGAAGGGGCGTTTATGCGTAATTGTGCTTGATTGACATCGAGTAGGTGCAATCGCTTGCTTGCAGAGGCGGGTTATGAATTTGCTTGCAGCCAATCAGAACACGCCAATACGTGGGCGTTAGCGCAGAATCGCTACGGGTTAGGTTGACGCTGTTTGTTTTTGAAGGGGGCCATGTTGAGTTCAGGGTGTTGTGAAGTGTTAGTAGGTCAGAGTAACATATGTTCTTGGCCATAACGCACAAATTACGCTAAGCGTTTTAGTGCCATTCACTTTATTTGTTTAATGCAGATGTGTCTAATCGGTGTGAAGTGTAGAAATGTGAGCAGTCGACAGCTGTTTAGTAGGTCATACTGTCTTCAAGTAAACATTGCAGGGGTGGTCATCTATAGGACAGTTGAATAAGTCCACATCCTAATTTGAATAAGCGAGGAATTATGTGTTTTACCCACCCTTTAACTCAGATGCCTATCGTGAAATTAAAAGAGTAGTTCACTTCAAAATGTACTTATTATTCACCCTCATATTTTTTTAAATATTAAAACCTGTATGTGTTTTTTTTCTTTGGAATATAAAAGGAGAAATTTATAAAAATGTATCCATACAGAAAGAGTTCATAATGTCTCAGAGGTCGCTAATACCAATTAAACAGATTATTTTAAAATCAGTAGTATGAACAAAAACTTTTCACTTGATGTAAAATAGTGCTGAATGTCATTAGAAAATTATAAATATATAGTAATGACTTTACCATGAGAGAATTTTGTCATTATAATAATAATAAAAACATATATAATACATAAAAACAGCTTAATCACTAATGATTACTTTATTATTATGAAATGTATAAATAATGTACAAGAAAGGGAGAGAGAAAAAGGGATAGAAGTAAAATCAATTTAATTTCTTATGTAATTTTCAAAAAGCACTGCATATACAACCCTCTACATTGCGAGTAAATCACTCGCATATGCGACTAAATCTTCACTCTGGCGACTAAATGATGTCTAATATTAGCCAATTGCTAATAAATTCTCAGATCTTACTGTGAAAGCACGCAGGTGATGGAGATTTACCGCTGATTACAGAACGGCTTTACTGACAAGATGCGCGTTAAATATCGCATGCGATTTATCGTGCAGCCCTAGTGTATGTATATATTTATCAGTCTGGCGAGTAAACAAAAAAATTTACTAGCCAATGGCGATTCAATTGCCAAGGTGTTTGTAGAGGGCTGATATATTATATATCCACATCCCCACATGTTTCAGATGTATATATTTTATGTTTCTTTTGCACATAACTATTTCATAACATTTATTTTGTTAGAACTGAGAAATGTTTGGAAAAATATAAAACAAAAAACAGGCCATTCCTTTGCACTCGTTGCGCTTTTTATGCAGTATGTGCACGGTATGTCTTCTGAAGCAAGTAATCGGATGATCAAAGATGGTTGGTATTAACATGATATTAAGAACATGTTGCAACAAACTCCATGTGGAGTCCGTTACCCATTACATTTACTTTGGGAAAGCCATTCAAAGCACACAGCTTGTTCGTTAGTCAACAACAAAATAATAACACTAGAGAGGTGCTTTTTTGCTTAAAGCTGCCGTCCGTAACTTTTTTTGGTTAAAAATGATCCGAAATCAATATTTGAGAAAGTACATGACCAGCCAATGTTCAAAACTATCGCCTTACTTTAGTCCGATTCACAATGGTAAGCTTATAATAATGTTTTCTAATTTGAGTGGTACGGGTAGCTTTTCGCGGGAAATTCGAGCATGGCACTGCGTCATTACGTCACGTCTATAATAGGGCTGTGCAATTAATCGCATGCGATTGTCATGCGCATCTCGTCAGTAAAGCCGGTCCCGTGATTAGTAGTAAATCTCCATCACCTGCTTTCAGATGGAGCGGCATTTAATACACAGAGCCGTAGTTCACTGACAAGCTAGGCGATATCGCGTTCATAATTGAATGCGAGTCATCTGCGATTATGAACATGATATTGCCTAATTGTCAGTGAACTACGGCTCTGTGGAGTGCATGCCGCTCCATCTGAAAGCAGGTGATGGTTACTACTAACTAATCACGGGACCGGCTTTACTGACCAGATGCGCATGACAATCGCATGCGATTAATTGCACAGCCCTAGTCTGTAAACATAAAGAAGTTGTCCCGGCTAGTAGGCTATCGCATGTGCGGATCCTGCAGGTGGCGGATCGTTTATAGCCTTTTCTCACAGCAGCT